CTCCCTCCCTCCCTCCTTCCTTCTTTCCTTCCTTCCTTCCTTTCTTTCCTTCTTTCTTTCTTTTTTGGAGAGAGAACTCAAATGGGGAGAGGGGCAAAGGGAGAGGGAGAGAGAATCTTAAGCAGGCTCCATGCTCAGGGCAGAGCCCAATGCAGGGCTCGATCTCACGACCCTAAGATCATGACCCGATCTGAAATCAAGAGTTGGACGCTTAACCAACTGAGCCACCCAGGCACCCCTATACTAGCATGTCTTACTATAATCTTTAGTATAATTAAGAAATAGAAAGTACAAGTTACCTTTAATCCAACTTTGCAGAGGTAAATCAATTTGTTGCACATTCTTCTAGATATTTGTAATGTAAATACTAACATAAACTCTCCCACATATACCCCCATGTATTATAAATGTTCACACAAAATTAAATAACAGGTATCTGAAGGAAACCTATTCGCAGTAAAATATTTTTTCTGATTTACAGGTATAATGAAAGTTCTACAGAGACACAGATTATCAGGAAATTGCCGCATGATTACATTTCAACTTGAATTTCAGATTCTGGAAATCCAGGTAAATGGAGTACATTATGGTAACAGGTTCTACTGTGATTAAGCAGTTCCCACCCCCCTGCCTTCAGCAATGGCTGAGCTGAGGAGGCCAGGGCCCTCTTGTAGTACGCTTGTACAAAGTGATACCATTTTTACAGTATAACCATCCTGGCAACTGCATATGAGAGGGTTGTTCCTGAGGATCTAGGTGCTTTATTGGAAGGCAGATAGCAAGTTTGTCCTCGTCTCTCAGAGCAAGCCCCGAGGTCATGGGAAGAGTCCTGGATGCCCTCCGTGACCTGCTGATATGCCAGCCATGTATTATTTATGCTTAACAAATTTTCCCAAAATTTAAAGGCTTAAAACAACAACAAAATGTTTATCTCACCCATTTTCTGTGGATCAGGGATTTGGGAGCAGCTGAGTTTGCTGTTCTTGTTCAGGGCCTTTCATGAGATGGTGGTCATTTGGAACCACAGCCATCTGAAGACTGTTCAGGGCTGGCGGCTTAGACTCCAAGGTGGGTTGTGGTTACTCCAGCAGGTTACACTGGACTGCTAAGACACAACGCAGGAGGAAGATACTTCTGGCTAAGACTTTGCGTAAAATCAGGAAGCAGAAAGAATGATAATGTGCAGCATATGGCCAGGGGTGGGCGTAACAAGGTCAGAAACCTTCAAAGTATGGCTCCAAGAAGAGTGGGATCCAGGCATAATTTCAAGAATTGTCTTGGCCTAGACACAAACTTTGATAGCAGAAAACAGTTTAATCAGTTGGTTTTGTGAACTGGGCCTATGAAAAGTATGTGTAAAGGAGATTCACAGGGAAGGGCGGGCAGGCTATCTTGGCCCCAACTTATCGGATAACCAAAGCAGATGTAGACCAGTTGTTCTAACCCAAGTCCTATGGACATGATGCTTGCTTATATTCATCGTCATGTACCAGAATTCCTGATCCTTGTCCTCAACCACAAAAACAGCCCTAAGTTTTCCCATTTTGTATAGAATAAGGTTTGATGTTAGATAATCACGACCCTACCTCCTTAAGGTGTCAGATGGCCACCCCAACTAGTCAAGAGTGCCTGCTTCCAGGTATCTGAGCTAGAGGTTTTGCTTCTCGAGAACTCTTTGCAGTCCATATCCATGGTTGCTGCCACTGGCCCTGGCAGACTGAGGAGGGGCTATGGGATGTCTAGGCCCCTCATCTGATGACAGAGCTCCCAGCTTGCTCCCACCTCAGAGTATTCCCCCTTCGACACTGTTGAGATGACTAAGAGCATTCAGAGTGTATCATTGCCAAGGCTGATTGAGCAGGATCTGACACAGGGCATGGGTGATGAGTGGCCTTAGGGGAGGTAAACATTTCCAGGTTGTCGCCAGGCCTTGAGACTGTGCAGGGTCACCAAGGTGAAATTATTGTTCTGCATGACCTCAAAGATCATTTGCCGAAGACTAAAAAAGAATGTGGATACAAATGAATTGGTCTCATTTGAGATAGTCTGTGTCAGGACCCATGCTTCTCTTTTGGGTGGCCCAGGAACTCCTGGATGTTGTCCCATTGCAAAAGGTGGCGTAGTTATTCCAGCCGAATTTTTTTCCTTTTGGGGCTAATATGATCTTAAATTCAGAGTGGTGATATACCACATACTTACCTGCGTCCTGGCCTCCATTAATAGGCCAGGCCTATAGTCCATGTCAGGTTGGTGGAGTCAGGCCCAAGGTCCATCTCCATGTCAGAACATTTGTAGTAGCAGTGTGTACATTGCCCAGGAAACTGCTCAGGAGCATCCTAGTAGCCTTGGGGTTCTATATGCTATTTCTGCTATTGGTGCTTATCTTTTACACAGTCATTCCAAGGGTTATCTGGAGAGTAGCTAGACTGTTGGCAAAGCTAAGCTCATCCTTGGGAGGCTTATCCATAAGTCCAACTGAAAAGAGGTTAGTCCTTTGAAGTTGAGCTGAACCAACTGCTCATTGAAGCTGTACATTCCAGAATGGGTTGTCCCTAAAGATCGGCCTGTTCATTAGGGGGACTATGGCCTAAGAGATAAAATAGACTGCAGTTTTTTAACTTCATTTTGTTTAAGTTGGATATTTTGGTCAACTTAAGCCTCTGAAGGAAAACACCAGTGGTAGTTTGATTCCATTATGAATCAGATCAAGGATGACATCACAGTTTGGGGATATATTTTATACCATGATATGCTTCTGAAGAATGGCTGCTGCCCTACCCGAGGCATTGTCTGCATGAACTGGCACTGGGCAGCTCCCATAGTGGTTTGGCTTGCTGGTCCTATGTGGCTGTGTGAGGCAGTACAGACAAGACTGAAGCCACGTGGGCCTTGCTGCAGTGGCCATGTTCCCTACCTTCTACTGGGCAGTGGTGGCACCAGTCCATAGCGACTGTTGTTATTAATAGTATATTGAGCTTAATATTATGATCCCATACCACCAAAGCAGGACTGAAAATTTTGTGACCATTTAGTAATGGCTTAAATGTATACTATTAATCTCACATGCTGAATAAATGAGAATTAGTTGAGCTGCATGTGACAGAAAACTTAAAGGTAGATCAAAGTATTAGAAGTACTAGAAGTTTCTCTATTGCTTAAACAAAATTTTGTTTTTGTTTGCTTTTGCTTAAAATTGTAAGGTAAGTTTTCAAGAGCTGGTACAGTGACCTTATGAATACCAGGCTCTGCCATTACCCATGTGACTTCGAAATCATGGTGTGATGATCATTTGAGCACTTCAGGCATCAGGAAGGGTGAATGGGCAATCAAGGGCTTAGCTTTTCTCTTGAAGGATACTTTCTACAAGTTGCAACATCCATCATTTCACCTACATTCTATTGGCCAATAACGTCCTGCAAGGGAGGCTGGCAATTCAGTCTTCATTATGCATGGCCATGAGACCAGTGAAAAATTGGTGCAAGAAAGAAGTACATGTATTGAGAACTACCAGTAGTTCCTGTCTCATATGCTTTGGGGGATGCAGGGGAAAAAAATCTAAGGAGAGGAACAGTTGATATTCTTTGATAGACAAAGAACACAGGAACTGTTGAATCTCTAAAGACATGTCAGTTGTTATTCACATTTCAAAATAGTAGGAATCTTTGAACTGCTCAGTTTTACTTAATTTGCTGCAGACTCTCCCTGGGAGAGTTAACAACACTTGGTTTTTCTCTGTGCCTTTCCAAATTTATGATTTTTTTTTGAGCACCAGACTGCTAAGTAAGATGTTGCAAACAACTCTCGAATAAGGAAGATTTTTAGGAATAAGTCATAAGTGGGACTCATGGGGTTTCTTGGAGAAGTGGTAAACGAGGGACTGTCTATATTTCTTTGTTCCTTAGAATTCAAATGTAATGAGCTGATGAGAATTTTTTAAAAAGTTATTTAATGGTAAATCCTCACATATTTTGGCTTTATTTGTGTAAATATGCCTTTAGAGTAGTAGAATTGCTAGGTCATAGGAGATGTACACGTAAATTCTGATAATACCAGATTGCCTTCTAAAATGGTTTTGCCATTTTACATGTTGAGCAGATTTTTATAGAGATTAATAGAAAAAAAAGGTGAAGATACAACAAGCTTCTGTGTTCTTAAACATTTTTTTAAAATGGAATTTCCATTAGAGGGAGATGTTTAACCACCAGATAACTAAAAAGTAACCTAAATAATAAAACTATCTTCCTTATTACTGTTATAATAAAATCATAGTAATACACTGTGAGAACCATAAGTGACCATATAGACTATTAAGCTCAACCCCCTTATTTTAAAGGGAAATAACATCAAGGGAGTTTGAATGATTATCCATGTTGGCACAGCTGTTACTCTCAGAGGTGGTTAGAATATACAGTTCTGTTCTCCAGCTTTACTGTCTCGTGTCGTAAGAACATCAGAATTAACATGTGTCAGTATTCATACTCCATGTATAAATAAATTCAGTGTCAGTTTGTAGGGAAAATGGCTAAGAATGTTTTCATAACTACTCTTCCTGAAACCCAGTGAAACAAAGTGATTCCAGAGTAAGGAAATTTTTAATTAATATCTGGTCTTGGCACATACTCAACTACTGGGATCTATTAAAAATAGGGGTGCCTGTGTGGCTCAGTCAGTTGAGCATCCACCTCTTCATTTTGGCTCAGGTCATGATCTCAAAGTTACGGGATCAGGCCCCGTGTCAGCTTCCTTGCTCAGTGCAGAGTCTGCCAGTCCCTCTCCCTTTGCCGTTCCCCCTGGGTATGCTCTCACTCTCTCTCTCTCTCTAAAATAAGTAAATCTTAAAAAGAAAAAAAAAAATGGGGCACCTGGATGGCTCAGTCTAAGCATCTGCCTTCGGCTCAGTTCATAATCCTGCAATCCCAGGATCAAGCCCCACATGGGCTCCCTGCTCAGCAGGGAGTCTGCTTCTCCCTGACCCCTCTCTCTCTCTCTCTCTCTCTCTCTCAAATAAAATCTTTTAAAAACATAATAAAAATAAAATAGGGTCCTTGAATATCACAGTGATTTGAGAGACAATCAAGAGCTAGGGCAGAACAGAGGAATTATATTCCAAACTAAAGAAGAAGATAAGGGCGCCTGGGTGGCTCAGATGGTTAAGCGTCTGCCTTCGGCTCAGGTCATGATCCCAGGGTCCTGGGATCGAGTCCCGCATCAGGCTCCCTGCTCCTTGGGAGCCTGCTTCTCCCTCTGCCTCTCTTTCTCTCTCTCTCTCTCTCATGAATAAATAAATAAATAAAAAGTTTAAAAAAAAAAGAAGATAAAACCTTAGAAAAAACCTCGATGAAATGGAGATAATAATTTACCTGAAAGATCAAAGTAATGGTCATAACGATGCTCACTGGACTTGGGAGAAGAATGGAAAAACACAGTGAGAACTTCAAAAAATAAATAAGGGGTAAAAGAGCATTTGAAACCGAAGTGACAATTGAAGAGTACAATAACTTCACTGAAAAATACAGTAGGGGGTTCCCATAGCAGACCAAAATACATGAAAGGATCAGTGAACTTGAATA